GCAAACTTTAGGTGAGTAAGATTTTAGTAACATATTTCTTGTAGATAAAATGTTATCCCCTTAATTGGTGATCGATGACTGCAAACTGGCACGTATTTACAAACAACTTATTAGCACATATTTACAAATTTATCGCTTGTAAGTTACATGACAGTTTGTTCGTATCAGTCACTAAAAGAAAATTGTGCTAATGCTGCCGAACTGCCATTCAATGCGTTGCAAAATTTCGTGTACTGCCTAGCGAACTATTGTTTGTGCTCACGAATTTCTTTAGCTTAACAAAACTTTGAAGAAAAATTGCCCTTTGTTCAAGCGAATTATTGCTCGATACGCCATGAAATTTCACTTGAACTGCGAACTTTCGACAAAAAGTCGCGGGAACAAAGAACGAAATTCGCGCATTTCGCTTGCGTTACTTTTGAACAATACTGTACACAGTCAAATATTGTTGTTTCTTACAGAATTCCCTGTGGTTAGACCGTGACAGAGGCTTTCTTATGAATTGGGATAGCACCTCTTTGTTTTGTTCTGTATAGCCCTTTGTGTTCATAGGTAATGTAAAGAGAGTTGAAAATAAACCTTGTGTTGTGGAGATCTTAGACTGTTTTGGTTTGTGTGTCTCTTAGCCTTGACCCTTGGCGATGTTAAACTATATTACCTGGGTTTTTTGCACCAAAGCTCAAGTCTAAAGCATCTTCATACACATTCCTGAAAACACCCAACTTCTCCAGCTCATGAATGGCGACCATGACAACTTCATGAGACTAGTGTAGTAATCAGACAGAAACAAATAATTATACTTTATAAATCACTTATTTTTAAGTATGTTGTTTTCGTGTTTCTGTGACACGGCAGTTACTGAGTTACATTTATATTTAGTACATATAATGTGATCGTCCAGGTGAGGGTAGTTCTCAAAAGAACTGTTGTTGGTGACTGACGTTTCCACAACCTGAGCGGAAGTCACCTTCAGAGCCAAGTGAACAGTTTTTGTCAGTCGATGATGTTTTAACTCTGGTCCGTTGTACATGATTGGTCAGTTTAACCATGATCGTATTGGCTGAAAGATTCGTGTAAAGTTTGTCATCAGTCATTGGTGGGTTTCGATCCGTCCATTGTTAGTCAAATTGGTCAGTTTTTGGTTTACATTTTCACATTTTTTACATTCTTTTACATTTACAATGTAAATGCTCACATCATTAAAAGATTTTCCCACAGATCATTGATTGCTACTCTTTTGACTAGTGTGGTATTAATAGATATTTCCAGACATATTATTACTTCTATTACCTAATCAAGGGCTTACAAACAGAATTCTACAATAAGCTCACATGGTAACAATGCAAACATACTGCATGTACCCATATAAATAATGAATTAAACCAAACAAACTCCAGTGTCATCAAAATCAGTGAACAAAAAACATATGTCAGAGTAACACTGTAAGATGCTTTTTGAAACATGCTTCACAGTACGGAGCTCATCACTCATGAAAATTATATTCTGTACCATTGCATTTAATAGTGCATAATATAAGAGGACAAGTGCACAGAGAACTACAAGGTGTGATTATTATAGCTGCTACATGCTTCATTTGCTATCAATTCTATAATCTCATATATTTGGGAAGCAGGGATGGTGCAGTGGTAAGAATGCTCGCCTCCCACCAATGTGGCCTGGGTTCGATTCTGGCCCGATGCCATAAGTGGGTTGAGTTTGTTGTTGGCCTTGCTCAGAGGGATTTTCTCCAGGGTCTCTGGGTTTCCTCCCTCCACAGAAAAACAACATCTGCAAATTCCAATTCGACCAGGATAGTGGAGCTGCATGAAAACCAGCTGAAGCTGAGGTGGCTTCCTTTATAAAACTGATATTGCTCATTTATTTTTTAACTTTTTTTAGAAACCCAATACATGCTTAAGGAATAGTTGTTAAAGAACAGTTCTTGAAATGTCAATCCAAAAAGTATAGAATGAACTGTTACAAAAGTTCCTGGCTTGTCTCACACCAGAGTACAGTAGTAATAGGCAAGATGCTGAAGAAATTTGACATGTGTCAATCATTTATTCTGAACTTAAATATCAAGGGGTAGTGTACTAACCTGCCCGGAGAGGATGACATGTTTGAGCAACTTAGATTCATTTTTATGAGGATTATCTGGATTTGCTGCTGTTTCTGACAAATGACCAAGCAACAAGAATGCAGTGTTGAGCTCGCCACGATTAGCAACTGTCATCATTAGTTTTTCCAAGCCTAAGTAAAGAGTACATGTCAAACAAAAGATTTTCATTTACTTATTAGAACTAAGATCAAATCCAAGACAGTAAAACAATGATAAGCAATGTAACAAGAAAATGAAAACGTTTAAATGTCTGATATGGATTCAAATTACTAGCACTACCTTTCCAAATATAATTCATAATGTAATTTTAAATATAGTTAAATGGAATTTAACATAGTTAACGACTAGGAGCTAGTCTGGTCAGTAGCGTTTTTATAGGCGGTTGTCAGTGTCTTGGCCGTCTG